AAGGTGTTGCTGAGGAACATCTGCCTGACACATGCTATCCTAATTATCTGGATGGTGTTGTTTTGGATTAATTTATGTAGAAGACTGCACTCACAGCTCAATGTCAAAACTATTAACAGGCAGAATTATACTGGCTTCAAGGTAAGCAAAACTTTATCTGGCTTAATGTTTTTGCTAAAAATTATTTTAGTATGATGTCCAATGATAAATGTTACAGAACACTACTGTAAAGATCTGAAAAAAAAATTAAAACTTCCAAGTAGGGGTGCCAGTCAAAACCTGTTAAACTCATAAAAGTTTGTTTTCTCAATGATGATAAAACATTTGTAAAATTAGTCATTCAATTTCTTACACATAGTGTCTTTTACTGCATGCAGGATGCCAGACAAAACTCAATAATTAACAGTAAAAGTATGTTTCCGCAATGATGGTAAAAATTTGTAAAATTACAGTCATTCAATTCAAAAAAGAAATACTGTATTTTACTGTAATTTAACAGTTCAACAAGTCATTCTGACATACAGTATTTTACAATAATAACAGTAATACCCATTAAAATAAACACAATGTCTATTAAATAAAGGTGATTGTTTTGTGCATTTACATTTTATTTCTATTCACAATAGCAGTGTATGTAGCTTTTCTTATGTTAGCTGCTGACAGTTAGCTTGATAAATCAGTCAGATTAAACAGGACTGTAGAGTGCTCACATCTGTGATTAAAAACCTGTGTGTAAAGATAATGATTAATGCACATGCTCACATGCCATTCTTTGTATTGTTTCAATAGAGTTTGCTAAAAAAACGATGAGACCTCTTCAATATCTTACTTTACTTTGAGTAGCTCTAGTGTCATACTGCCTACCCACACTTCAGAGTAAAACTTCATACACTCTTAAAAATAAGGGTTGGTATATCACATATGGTATATGGGATGGAATCTGGTATTTTTGGAGGAACCTTGTGTGTCCTATGGGAGGCACTGTCCTAAGGGGCTACCGTACCCCCTCCCAAAAAGTGGTCATACCATTTTGTGGCACAAGGTTTTTCCTGGTGGGATATAGCTTTGTCCAGGTGTGGCACCACATTCTCTGGTGTAAAGCGGATAATCTCTATTAAACTAAATTCTTAACATCAATCAAATTTCACGGATCGTGTAGCATTAAGGTGCCAATAAGATCCTCTTCAGAACTTCTTCAGAGCAATGTCATTGTAGAACCACTTCAGGCTATCTAAAGAACCCTTCAATGGATGCTTCTTTAAAGAACCATTTTTGGAAAATAAGATGTGTGAGTGTGAAAACCCTTTTAAAGTTTAGCTCCATTTAATATAAAGGTTCTATGTTAATTAAATGTTTCTCATTAAACAAGCCAAAAGCCATTTAGGAACCTTTTCAGGAATCTATTTTTAAAAGTGTAGTAGAACCATCCATAGTACATAGAAGAAACTGTGTACAATGTTACAAACATTGTGTGCAAACATAACACTTGGGTCAATTTGAAGCTATTAGTCGCATCAATCAGAAGCCTTAATTGACATGCAGACAAGCTAATGCAGTTATTGATTTTGCCATGATTGACATAAAGGCTAGCCCTAAGTAGACTTCTGAAATGCCGCTCAGAAATCTAATCTAATCTAATTATCAGTGCCTGGTTGGTCAACCTCAATTAGTAGAAATGTCTTGTCTTTCAGCTCTTTGTGCAAATCTTAATTTGACATGTTTTCTCATTTATGTTTATTCCTCAATCGCTAATCTTCTTGCATGCAACATCACACCATTCACTTTAGATGTAGGGCCACAAAAAATTACTGAGCATCAGAAGCTAATACTGCATCTCACTATAAGTGAAATGGCAACAACTAAGCAGACCTAAATATGGAAATATTTCAAACACTCACAGATTTGTGCAGAATAAGTTGTACGACTTCACATCTTGGACATCAAGCCACAATCTAACACATTTCGTCTTTTGCTAAATAATTTTAAATGCAAGATTAAGATCTTTGGTACCACTTTACAAAACTTCTACTCTTATTAAAGGTTTATGAACGGTTTAATATGAGTGTTAAACCAAAACCACCGTTCCCTGCTGAGATGGAAAGACACTGATACTCTGACTCACGCTTTCATAACATCTCATCTAGATTACTTTAACCCTTTTCATTGGCCTTCCAGCACAAATCTTCAATATGCTCAAAATTTCACTGCTTGTGTTCTACACACTTAAAATAGATGGTTCTTCAAGGGTTCTTTAGTAAAGAAAATTGTTGTATATAGAACAATGAACACTCAAAGAATCCTTTGCATGATTGAAGGGTTCAGATTGATGGAGAATGTGCTGTAGTTGGTTCTATACAAAACATTTTTGAAAAGGGTTCTGTATAGCATCAAAAAGGGTTCTGCTATTGTTACGATATCAGGCTCGTTACAATAGAGGAACCCTTTATGGTGCTATATAGAACCCATGCTTCCCCGGGTACAACTAATCCAGCTCATATTTGGATTTAAACACACAAATATAAAAACACAATGAAAAAAATTACTTTCATGGTTTCATGGTGAATCTTGAGAAACATCCATCTGATTGTTGTGAAAATGTAAAGATAATGTCACTATGGGAATATGAGAACATGACCAAAAGTATGTTCTAGTTGTCCCTGTTCAACTACATAAGTCTGTTACATTTTACCCTTTGCTAGGTTGTGCCTAGCTAAATCTGCCAAATGATCAGGTAAGCATCACTGACAACAATACAAGTTAAGCCCTTGTCACGCATCCCTCAATGCGTGACAAGGGTTTAATTGTTTTTTTCTGTTTATTGGCCATTCGTTTGTTTATTTCAACTCTGCCTTTCTGCCTGATCCCTTGGACTTTGTTATGACCTATTTTTCTGGTTTTTGATTGTTTTGGATTTGACCTCAGCCTGTTTTGTGACAACGACTTTGGAACTCCCCCAAACTAGTACAGCCTCTTCAGGATTTACAATCTGCATGCGTCTGACTCTTTCTGTCCCATTACACCCTCCATGTTTTCATTTTTAAACAATAACAAGACAGGTTTTACTCTCCTTGTAATATCTGAATACTATCGATCCAAAAATGTTTTTTAGAATAGGAAAAATTGGCTAAAATGTCCATTCCTACTTTAGACAACTCTCCATTGCTGTCAGGTTTACACAATTTTAGAATATTTCTTATGTTTACTTTGTAGCTTTGTATCAGAGTAGAGGGAACGTAGAATGAGCATCAAAAGTGATATTAAGCTTCAATTTCTCCATTTTTCTTTTCCTATCTTTCATACCTCCTATCTCTCTCACTCACTCAGTAAGAGGTGGCTCCCCACTGTTTATATAACGGTTGCCATTAGCAGAAGGTAGAGACAGTTCGGGGAACTGACAGAGACGTGTAATTTACTGAGGAGCCCCATGAGTTCTACTTCCAGGAAGTCAAAGTACTTGAGTACAGTCAGGGGGAGCCATACAGATCAGGCTGTTTTCACACATGAGGGGCATACTAAAGCCTAAAACTCATCGTTTCAGGAGAATAAAAATAAGCTGGTCTAGGTAGGTTCCACACTGCGTCACTACAAGTGTGATGTATACAGAGGCACGATCAGCAGCACCATCTGTGAAAACCCTGCATGAGCTTAAATAAGACAGCTTCACAATAAATCAGTAGATAAGCCCGAAGGAAGCAGACTCTGCCTAGAAACTGATGTAAAAAGATGACAGTCTGACAGATAAAGTATAATATAAATGGTATAAAATACTTTACTATTAAAACAATTTAAGGGACAAAGTAGTTCAGCAGTTGGGAGCAGCAACAACAGGAGATCGCATGTAAGGTTGTGAGGTTCCTGCCCATTTAACACTGCTGTTGAGTCCTAAGGCACGGCATTTGACACCAAGTTGCTCCATGGCTGTAAACGCCGCCAAGTCAATCTTAAAAAATTATTTAAAAAATGGAGACTCCTAATAACCATGCAAAATCTGTAAAAAAAACTGCTAAGGAAAGATACCATAACGGACACTATTAGATAAACAGTAAGCTTCATCTTTAAGAGAGCATAAAATCAAGATCCACTCTTGCTTCAGATCTGAAAAAAAAAGTGTTTCTGTCCATCCTTCCACTGTGAGAAGACAAGTCTACTGGTCTAAAATGATGTGTAGTTGTCAAGAAAATGCAACCAACCTCTAAGACTGAACTCTGGAGGCGTGGAAAAAAATGCAGATTTCTTTGAAACACTGAAATCAAGACTCCTGAAAAGAATGGAGGCTGTAATAAAGGCAAAAGGTGGACATACAAAATACTGAAAAAAAAAATTATATTTAGTTGTTGAGGCTTCTGTGTAACTTTCTGTTAAGTAAAATGAATAACTTGTACTTAATGGCTGTTTTGACTAAATATTAAGTTAATGAAAGGGAGATCTCTGACCCTTGCATATATTGGGTCCACTTCTACTTCTTCACATTTGTGATGGTCAGATGCAGCTATTTACACATCATGTCCTATCGATTCATCAAAAGCTCTGAGGCAAGGTTTGCTGTGTTTGTACTGCTGCACATGTTTACAACGTTGGAAAAGGGAATGGAACAATGCCAAAAGTAATAGGAAAAGGGAATAATGAGAACTGTGCTATGGCACACTCCCTGCATTCATTCACATGTGGTTTGCTGGTTTAGAAATGATAATCTTCAGCTAGGTTGCAAGCTTTTCGTAAAGACAAAACCATAAGGCATTCACTTCTAAACTATCCTTCATGCATGGAAAATCTCCTTTTTTTCTTCATTTTTTTTCATTTCTGTTTGTGTTGCAATGTACATTATAGATCCGATTTTCATATTTTTCTTTTTATAACAGTTAATGTGGTCAACAAATTTTCCAATGCTTGTTTTCATTTTCCTAATAGTTTTCACAATATAGACAGGTTGGTCACACAGACCCTTTTATTCAGAACCGATTGTGTTTGCGTGCTTGTGTGTGTGTGCACGTGTTTAATACCATGTGCATGAGCTGATCCCTCTCATATGTGGTTTTCTCTGCAAGTGTGACAACACTGGTGAGGTACTGATGAGCCACCAGCTCCTTCTCTAAAGAGTCTTCAACCTGCTGCTTCAAAAGATCTATACGCCTCTGAGCCTTTCTATGGAGAGAGAGAGAGAGACAGACAGAAAGTAAGAAAATGAGACAGAGAGAGAGAGAGAGAGAGAAAGAGAGAGGAACTGAACATTAATATATGAGTGGTTCCTAACCTGCACATTTTTGTTTGTCTGACACACCTCTTTTAACTGATTCAGCTGATTCCTGATCTATGTATACTTATTTATTGTCAAGTTATTTGCCACAAGATTTAATCAATATCAACTGCTTTTCAAATATGAGGCATTCTGGTTATTAATTTTATTGTAATATCTTTTTCAATGTTATACAGCTTTCTCAATTATTATGAAATCATCTAAAGCTTTGTTAATCATTCTAGATACATCTAAAATTCTTCCCTTAAATTAACCTGTAAAGCTGCACTTGTAAAGCAGTCATATGCAAAAGTTTGGGTGCCCCAGGTTAAATGATATTGTTGATTTTCTAAGTGAAAAGAAGTTCAGAGAACACTCCTGCACATTTTCCAATATGTTAAGCCCAGCAAATAAACAGAAACTGGGCACTAAATTTAGCAGAAAAATGCCAAAAGTTTATTCCATGAAGAGAGTGTGTTAACTTATTTTCACTTTGAAAATCAACAAAGCATGTAATTTGGTTTTTAAACTTTTGCATAGCACTGCATGTACATCATATTGCTGTTGTCGGAAGAAAACCTTGTATCTTCAAAATGGCAACTTTACAGGAGAAGGAAAAAACATACTTTACTTTTAATGCAAGTGAATAGAACCAGACATTTTCCCAAGTCATTTTGGGCTTTTTCTTCTGGTCCATTTTTCATGAAATTTACACACAATGTAAAGGGCCACAGGCACTTGCAAATTATGTCAAAAACTGAAAAACAAAGAAATTGAGATACGAGGTTTTCTTCCAACAGCAGCGATATATTTGTTTTACATCATTGAAAAACTGTTCTACAGTGACTCCAGGCTTTGGACTGGTGTTTGTGTAGGTGAGATGTGTACCTATTAGCTTGGCGTGCTAGCTGTAGCTCGTTCTCCAGGTGTTTGACATCTGTGCTGAGGTTAGTTTTCTCCACCAGGAGCGTCCTCTTCTCAGCCTGCAGGGCATTCACACGAGCCTGCAGCTCCTCTATCTCAGCACTCTTCATCCTCTCCTCTTCTTCCATCTGTCTACAAGACGCATGAACACACATTCATAAGCATTCATATGCACAAACAGATGATAAACATTTATGCACACAATACAAGAAAACTCATTTCAGATTTTGGCAGAAGTTTGACCAAAACTATGGGTGAAATTTTATTATGGTATAATTTAATGATTATTTGTTTATGTCACATATAGGGCCCAACCGATATGCAAATGTTGTGGGTGTTTCCAATTCTGATTTTAAGAAGTTAAAAATTCCAATAACCAATAATATCCAATAACCAATACTATATTTTTGTTTTAGATTTTAAATTTACACTCAAGTAGTTCTAGATAAATATGACTGATATGATTGTTTCAGTGGATATGATTATCAGTCGTGAAATGTGACATATGACTTTTTCACAATGCTCAATCTAATAAACAGAAGTAACTCATTGTTTTAAATGAATGGTTTAGCAAAAAATGAATTTCACACAATCTTCCACGTGTAGTCGATCAACCAAGACAACCAAGTTTGGTGTCCAAATTTTTCTTCTTTAGTTTAGCTCTAGAGCTATGAAGTTTATATTGTTAACAAACCCTAGAAGTCAGTAGGCACCCAAATCTTTTACGCAAATACACCCCCAAAACTTCTCTCGACCCACTCAAACTGCAGCTGATTCCTTATTGATTGACTATATCTGGGGTCAGTGGAAAATTAAAATTCGATTTTTACTGAACCATTTCTTGATATATAGTGTAGTGGGTAGCACCTCTGCCTTCTACACTGTACAAGAGTCCTTGGGCAAGACTCCTAACACTACCTTCGCCTGCCTGTGTAAAATGATCAAACCATAAGTCGCTCTGGATAAGAGCGTCTGCCAAATACCGTGACTGTAAACTGTAAAATTGATATAACATAAACAAATTTTTTAGCACAAATTCTTTGTGGTTTTAGTTTCTGTTAATTCCTTCACATTTTTCATCATCTTCACAGAAAAAGACATTTTGCGTTATGTTACTCTCATGCTAAAGGTGAAGCCTGAATACATTTTACATGCTTTTATTAATTTAACTGTAATGGCATTTTGTGATCAATTTTACCAGTTGAGCCTGTATTGCTGTATTGCTGAGGTTATCCTTATTAGGCTCCACAGTAGCACAACTGTCTAAGGTTTTGTCCCATTGCACAAAGATCCCAAGTTCAAATCCCAGCAACACCACTACCACTGTCCATTTTTCTTTCAGCATTACACAACTTTACTAGTCTTTTGTTGCCCCTGTCCCAACGTTTTGAAACATGTTGCTGGCATCAAATTGAAAATGGGCATATATTTTTCAAAAATCAATTAAATTTCTCAGTTTCAATATTTGATATGTTGTCTTTGTGTTATTTTGAATTAAATCTAGAGTTGAATGAATGAAACAATGATTGAAAAAGAACGGGCCAACAATTAGCATTCTACAAATAATCATGCTAATTGATCACTAGTAGTTTCCATGTGATGTTAGCCATGTTAACAGGTGTGCTTTGGTACAGCTACTTCTTTAATACAAAAGAAGTAGCCTTGGTACAGCTACTTCTTTAATATCAAAACATCAATTAATGCAAATAAGTCTAGCAAGAAGGTCTACGTTTGTGTGCATGTGCTGAAATTGAGCTTGGTGTTTCTGAATATGAGGACAAAGTCTCCCCTAGTCTCCTGTGTTTTTCTCTTCGTCTCTCTCTTCCCTGCCTATATTTATCTCTCCACCGCCCCTCTTCTTCTCTCTCTTTGTCTGAGGCTCTCTCCTTTCTCCCTCTCTAATCTGTCCTCCCTGTATCTGTCATCTATCTCCCTCTCCTGCTGTATTTGTTGAAATTTTAATGAGTTTCCCCAAAAAATCCTCTAATGGCTTTTCATATGCAGTCTGATTAAAGAATACCACAGTCTAGTTACAGAATATTTCCCTTCAGATGAACTCTTCACCACTCGCACACCCCTCTCTCTCTCTCTCTCACACACATACACACACAGAACTGCTCACAGAACAGGCTTACTTTACTGTCCAAAAGTTTGAAATCACTTATACTTGCTGTTATTTCTTTTAATAATAATGTATACTGTTTAGATTGACATACTATAAGATACAAGAGGGAAGATTTAATAACAGAGGTATCTATAAACACTTTGTGCTGGCCACAGCTGCAACTTTATAGTTCACATGACCAGCGAAAAATAAATCTGTGTTTTGCTGAAGTGCGTTTTGAATGGAAACCCATTTTGGTTGGAGAAAAAAATCTTTTTATCATTTGGTTTCAGGTTCAAACTATGACTCACTAAACCAAATTAATGATTTATTTCTTTGAGATTTTGACTCAAGACAAAATAATGACTATTGAAAAAAAAATGAGCCATTACTCGTCAAGAAAGTATGTGCTTATTATCAGCTTTGAGAGGGAAACTCCCATAAACGCAAATCATCATTGTCCAAATAAAAACATGTCTCTCCAAGAGGGCAACTTTACAGAAGAAGGCAAAAACATTCTTAACTTTTCATGTAAGTTAATGTAAAAAGGTTTTATTCCAAGTCCTTTTGGAGCATTTCTGTTGGAACATTCATCATGAAATTTTCACACAATGTTAAGAACAACTGCTGTGTTTAAAAGATGGAGAAAATAGAAATCAACAAAATGGAGAAAGCTTTTCTTGGACAGTGATGATATGCAGTGAGGCAAATGCAACCATCAGTTTTATCACATTATGGGCCAAAAGGGTCAACTGTGCCTGTTTAGTGAATGATGACAGTCACTTTTAAATGTTAAAATTAAGTCTGTAATGACACAAAAACTTGTCATTCCAAACTTTTGAATAGCTAATCAATGGCAGGAAAAAATTCCCTCCTATAGATTAAAGCAGAGAAGAAAGAATCGCAAAGTAAAAAATCCAAATCTGCCTATAATCTTTTCCTATCAAATTAACTTTTGTTTTTTTCCAATATTAAAGTCAACCTGAAAGCATAATGGACCCTTTTTTACCTTAGCTCACAGTTAGCTGTTGTCCCTGGACATATTAAACACAATTCACATCATATCATACAACATAAAATGTTTGTTTTCCTGTAATCTTTAATCGAACTGTAGTGACTTTTCCAGCCTCTAATAACCTCTTCTGAGTTATGATTATATCTTCATGCACCAGCAAGCCAGGAAAATAATCACCATTCTTCCTTCATCCACATCCACCTATCATCATGGGGAACACTCAGTTAGCTCAGAGACCCTCCCTGATATGAAATATGTCACAGTAGGGTAGGAAATGCATTATGATTTATGATTTATGTTTCTCTCAAGGGCCATCAACAACTCTTCCTAAGAAGAACTGAACGAATGAGTAAAGGAAAGAGCTCTGGTGGGTAAAGCCCTCTGCCTATAGCGGCTGTATGATGTGTGATCTCCTGTCTTTAGCTGATCTATAAACTCCTCTGCTTTAATTAGGTGTGAATCATCTGTGAACGTCTAAAGCTGGCTTAACTCTCTAGATAAAGACTGAAGCCTCTGCAAATCAAGCAGCCACTCCAGCTTAGTGCTACATGAGTGTATCGAAAGTTCAAATGTTCTTCAAATCTACAACACTGTAAAGAATTAAATATTCTAACTCTGAGTACATCAATCATCTATTACATCCTTATTTAAATAGGCTATTGAAGCATTCATGGTATATTCTGCCAAAAGGCCAATCAAACTGCTAATCTGACTCAGATGGATTTTAGTATATCTAAAACATACAGTTAGGGGGTTCCTGAGTGGCGCAACCGTCTAGGCGTTGGCCCTATCATTAGGAGATCACGAGTTTGATCCCTGGTGATGCTACAGCCATCCGTAGCCGGGAGTCCAAGAGAGCACAATTGGCCTCGCTCTCTCTGGGTAGGTAGGATGGCCCCCCACTTCTCCCCCCATCACTCAACACGATGCTAGTCAGATGCTAACAGATCTGGCGTTTGGTGCTTTCCTCCAAGCGCGTTCAACTGTCCAATGATGTTGCGTCAGTGACAGTTCGAAAAGATGCGGCGGCTTCACAGGTCTCGGAGGTAATATCGTGTGAATGGGGGAGTCCTAACTAGTGGGTGGAATTGGAGACGACTAAATTGGGGAGATAATTGGGTAAAAATCCAAGAAAAAAAAAGAATAAAAAAACAGTTAAAGTTAGAGTTTTATATTGATTATTACAGATGTTGAATTTGTAACAATTGGAATATTGTGTTCACTGTGTTGGCCTATATTGGGCGTTGATTATTGTTTTTAATTAAGTATGGTTGGTACTGGTATTAAAGGGGTTAAGGTTCAGATCTCAGCTGCACCACACACTGCCAGGTCCATAGTGAAACTGAATTCAAAACTCAGAGATGCTTATTAAACTTGTAAGCACTGGATGTTCTGACATGTTTTATTATTTTTGTCATAGTATTGTTTTGGTATCGGGCATTGTGATACTACAATTATTATCAGTATCAAAGATAAACTCTGGCATTGTGACAGCATCAATCTGAGCTGCTCAAACTACAGAGCCAGTCTGATCACTGAACTCTGATCAGATCTACCTGCATCTCTGGACTACTTCAACTACCTGAACTGTACTCATACTGCTCTTGATCACTTATTTCTTAATTTTTCAGTTCTTAATCTGAAAGCTTATTTTTAGTAGCTACCAAGGCTCTGAACCAGTTTGAGGAATGAAAACAAAAAATGGAAATGAAAGGTATTTTGTCTGGACTACCATTTTGCAAGATTTACGGTGACCCCAAGAAGTATTTAGACATTTGTGCCATTCTTAGAAATGCATTAAATTTATTGTGGTAGGAAGCAAATCAAGTGGCATTTATCATAAACAGACCATTCCAAGACCTTTCGAAAGGTGGCTGGTGTGTTCCTGAATGTTATTCTGCTGATCTATTTCCATTCCTGTCATTTGAGCAATATCTCCTGCAGGTTAGAATCAAAAATGTCTTTGTACACTTCATTTCATTATCCCATCAATGAACTCAAGCTCACTGACACGTTGTAAGAAAACCAGCACCAGACTTTGACGTTTCCACCTCTGTGCTTACAGTACTCTTATAACAGTCTGGTTAGAATTCTTCACCAGGCTTTCTCCACACAAACAGTTTGGTGTACCATTTTATTAAGCAACTTACAGAACTCCATTAATTCCTTAAATGGCCAGGACCCTACAATGGTCCTGATCAATAAGCTAAGAATAACTCAGTCAGTTTGCATTGTAGTACATGTACTTACTGAATAATAAGCTATGGTATGTAATAAGCCTGAGATTTTAAGGGGTTAAAGTTTATCAATGGGTAAAGTGTCAAAATGCTTTTTGGACAATGTATATGATATGAATGCGGCATTTAGTAATATAGATCAGTAACCCTGATCTATAAGTAGACAACAGCTCTAAATGTGTCTTTCCATATAGTCTCACATGATTTTGTTTGTATTATGTGTCACGATGCGAGAAACCATTTAGCCAGCTAGCATGTCTATGCAGTTTTAAACAGGGAATTTGTTAACTCTGTTGACAACATGTAATATTACATTTGGATTTGTTTTGATCATAACAGCTTCCAATACATTATTACTGTGTTTCATATAATGTTGGAGCAATTTACTGATTCACAAACCTTAAGTCCCATAGGTTCTGTAAGTGAAAATGTCCTTATGAATACATAACTGCTTAGTTTAACAACTTTCCAAACCTACTGTTTTATGACAATTAGGTGTATTTACAGCCTATGTGTTTTATTCAGTTTCTGAGCCCTGATAACTACTAGGACTTATTCACTAAAAGCTATACAATTCCTGTGAAAGTGATTTAGTTATGAGGGTTTGGAATGAAAGCATTTCTCTCTCTGCAGCTTTTCTGTCACTTTCAATCCACCTATCCACCTATCTATCTCTCTATCTCTCTATCTATCTCTCTATCTATCTATCTATCTATGATTTTAAAAACTGCTGTTTTTCTCTATTGCTCTTCTCTCTCCCATTCTTTCTGTCTCCCATTCTTTCTTTCTTTATTTCTCACTCATTTCTTTCTTTCTCTTCTTTTTCTTTCTTTCTTTGTCTATTTTTTCTCTTTCTTCTTTCGTTTTCTTTGCCATTTCTCCTTTCTCTTTATTTATTTCTCATGTTCTTGTCTTTCTTTTTTCCTTCTTTCTTTCTTTCTGTCTTTTTCTTTATTTCTCAATCATTTCTTTTTCTTTCTTTTCATTTTCTTTGTCTCTTTTTTCTTCTTTCTTTTTTCTTTGTCTTTCTCATTTTGCACATTACTGCTCAAGTTTTGTTTCTGGTACTGTAAAATCTCTTACACAATGAAGCACAGTGCTGTACCGTTTGAGTGTGTCTGTGGTAGAGGTGTGTTCCACCCAGCTGACCGAGTTCTGCAGTGTGGTACAGGTTTTCTGGAACTCCACCTTCAGGGCCTGAAGCTCTTTGCGTACTGTCTCCAACTCGACTTCCAGAGCCTGCTTCTCTGCCTCCAACAACATCACCTGCTTTGACACCTTACACACTGCAGACAGAGGGATAAAGGGAGTTTTAAGGCAATTGTGGAATTCACAAGGACTACAAAAAAAAAGAGATGAACGAAGTACTGTGCAAAAATCAGAAATCGCCCTTTCATTTATTTCATTTCCATTCAAAATGGCCATTAAGTATGAGTTATTAATTTTTTCAGTAAAAAAAGGCATAAAACATATTTAACAGACAATTACTCACAAGATCATAATATCAAATCTGTTAGTATTTACCTATTCTTTACTTTTATGCACTCTACTGTTACTTTAACTCTTGCATCCTTCCAATCTTCAAACTAGCCATTTACAGCTGAGTCCTCCCATCAAAGACTGTTCCCAAAGGAGTTACTGACATTATGTGCATCTAAAACAGCTATAGAAGATATTTCTGAGCATAGTTTTAAGATTATCCACTTGCATAAACAAGGGAAAGGTCAAATTAAAATGTTAAAAAAACAGGACTCTCTAAAAATTCAGATATAAAGAATTGGGCCTCCTAACAACCATGCAACCTAGTAGACTGGTGCCATCAGATAAACTGGACTTGAAGCTTTCATCTTTGAGAGAGAGGGGAAAATCAAGCTTCCCTCTCGCTTCAGATCTGAGAAAATCCACAGGTGATTCTGTCCATCCTTCCACTGTAAGAAGCCTGAACGCTAGGAGTCTGAAAGGATGTGTGGCTGTCAAAAAGCCATAACTGAGAAAAGGAAATAGACAAAAAAAAAGAACATTTGCACTAGACTACAGCAACTGGGCATCTGAGATTTGGAGGTTTCATGGATTGATTAGTCTAACTTGTAATTGGGATTACTTGGATCAGAAGCAGAAGATGCAACCAACTTCTAAGACTGAATTTTGGAGGTGTGGAAGAATATCCCTGCAGATTTTTTTGAAAAACTGAAAGCAAGTCTCCCAAAGAGAATGGAAGCTGTATTAAACACAAACAGTGGACAAACTAAAGACTGATATTATATTTTGTTTGTTCAGGCTTTTGTGTAATTTTCTGTTAATTTTTTTGTTTTTTTCCCCCCATGCTTAAAAAGATTAACTTGCACTTAATGGCTGTTTTGATGGGAACTTAAAAGTGGTCTTTGACTTTTGCACGGTAATGTAATCCTGCACAATAAATATCTGCTGTGCTAGAAGGCTCTGAGGTTCCCTGAAAAAGATAAATTGAATAAAATGACATTTTCAGTGAAGCCTACAAAGCATTAAATCACTCAGTGAATCACTCCGTGGCACAATCTGTACAGTGATGTTGGATTTTGGTTTGGGACCATTTTAAGTGTTATCTGACTAGAATAACAAAGAAATGCTGTGTGTGGCTTGTCACTGGAACACTATTCTGATATCAGTTTGTGTGTGCATTCAGGTATGTGCACAGTGTACCTTCCTGTGTGTGTTTAGTGTGTGTCTCCTTGGCTTTAGCATGCTGCAGCTCCAGCTGTTCTATTAACACCTGATTCTCCTCCAACACCAGCCGTGCCTGATCTTGCAGTTGCTTCCTACACACACACACACACACACACACACACACACACACACAGAGTAAAAGTTTACTGTAACTTACATTATATCAATATATTATTAATATATTTTTAAGAATAACAGCTGATATTAATGGAAAACATACTTTTATTTCTCTAATTATATAGCACTGATATTTCTTCCATGTGTAAAGCCCACTCCCAACACCACAAATCATGAAAAAAAGAAAATTCTACTGTGTAATCTATAATGCGAAATATTCATGGACTGGCCAATTGAGTACTCCTGCTTAAATCTGTTTCTCTGCATACTTTGTTAGTGCCCTTTCGCCCTGTTCTTCACAACATACACCAACATGCCACCACCACGTCAGTGTCACTGCAGTACTGAGAACGAACCATTTAATGAAGTGTACTTAGCATTAGTATTTTGGTACTTGGCATTTTTCAGGAATCTTTAATGCATAGTTTCTATTTATTTGCTGAGTTTAACATATTAGAGCAGAAAATGTGCTATAACCTTTGCTCATGCCATATTTTCTGTTTTTTTTTTTTCACCAGTGTGTTAAATTTAGCAAATAAGCAGTTAATGTGCAGAGAAAAAGTGTGTTCTGTGTAGAGGATGTGTACTTATATTCAACAAAACATAATTTGACCAGGAGCACCCAAAATATTTGTGAAAATTTTGTGGCAATTGGGAAAAAGACATAAAGCGTGATTTTTTTGCATGTTTCCACCTACATTTATAAGCACATTTAAGTCAAGTCACGTTAAATCAAAGTTTATTTATATCGTGTTTTTTTAAAGAAGGCACTGTCACAAAACAGAAAAATCCAGGTTTAAGCCCCCATGAGCAAGCCAGTGGTGACAGTGGCAGGGAAAAACTCCCTAAGGCTACATTCGCATTACCAGGTTGAAACAGCACAAATCCAATTTTTTGCCCTAAAGTGACTCAGATCTGATGTTTTCAGGGCTATGCGGACACGGACATTGGATCTTTTCAAAGTCGACCTGAGCCACTTTCATATGTGGTCCTAGATCGGATACGTGTCCGATTCGTGGCCATGCAACCTTAATGTAAACACTCAGGTGGGAATTCATGTGCTTTTTTTCCACTGCGCGTGCCCCATCATTCAGCGTTACTCTGGCAGCAGCAAAAAAACTAGTTAAAGCCTGTAAACGGTGGAAAAGCAACACATCTCACCTTTTCACCTTCGTCTCACTCTAATAATGAACAGCTGAGAGCTGTTCAGAGTTAATTATCTTCACAGTGAAGCTCGTTCTGCACATTAGTTTGTTTGCTGATGATGCACTTGACGCACATGATTCATTAACGTGACGTCACTGAGTAGGATGTGTGCATGCGGGTCATTTCAGGACGCTGGTTCGTTCACATTAATGACAGATTTGAATAACTTACCTAAACAAGTGTGTATCATCATGTCAGAGAGATCAGATTTGAGCAAAAAAAATAGGATTTGAGCAATGAGGCATGTAATGTGAACGCGGCCTAAGAGCAACAGAAAAAAACCTTGGTTGACACCGGCTAGTAAAAATAACATAAGAGCAATAAGAGCAGAGAATAAGGTTTTACCACTGATATAAACTGTAAAATCTAAAATATTTAAACCTCAAAAAAAAAGCAATAGAAGTCACACACAAAAAACAAACATCAGTGTCCTCTAAATACAGCATAAAGGAGGAAATGACAGTCAGCTTCGTATTCCCTTCAGAAGAAGCTCTTCACACACTCAGAAAACTCTTTACACACACTCATACACACTCTCTCTCACACACACACACACACACAGACAGACATTGTCCCAATAAAAAAAGAGACAAGAGGAGGCTGGAAGGTTAATAAGAGTAGATAGTTACTGATCTATTCAAGAAACACCATGCCTACATTAAAAAACAGAAAGAATCCTGTTAACTGGCAAGAGTAGCTGTATGAAGTAAAAATATGTAGAAATTCCATTATTTTTTTCAAAAAAGTCTGTGCGACTAAACCTATTCAGCTGTAAAAAAGGTCATTCAGAGTAGTTTAATATGAAATGCTCTGTTCTAGAGAACGCGTCTGACCTGTTCACAGCAACAATGAGAGAAAGCAGACGTCCAAAGCTCTACAAGACACCTCTGAGAATGTTATTATATAAAATGGTAAAGAATACGTTACCTGGTGTCCTTGTTTTATAATAGTTTTGAGATAAGCTTTTGGCCTAAACATATTTTTTAAATCTGTTCATGGCAGAGAGGTACACACATATAAGGCTAACTAGTCCCCATAGAATCTTTTATTTTACAGATTTAACACTATTTTACCTTTATCAGCATGTATCGTTGCTGTTGGAACAAAACCTTGAATCTCCAAACAGAAAACTTTGCTGGAGAAGGAGCAAACATTGTTAACTTTCAAAGCAAGTTAATGTAACAAGATTTTTTTGTTTGCCATTTTTCCCTCTCAGTTTTTCCTCAATTTAGTCGTGCCCAATTTCACCCACTAGCTAGGTCTCCCCTGATCACACGATGCTACCAGCGCTAGGAGGGTGAAGGCTAGCAAATGCTTCTTCTGAGTCACGTGAAGTGCTACTGCATCTTTTCAAACTGCCGCTTACAAAGGCAATGCAATTGGTCAGCTCAACACACTTGGAGAAGAGTACTAAGTGCCAATTCTGTTACATCAGCTAACAGACACCTGCTGGCTAGTATCATGCTGAGCGGTGTGGGGAGAGAGGGGCCAACCTTGCACCCAGAGAGAGTGAGACCAATTATGCTCTCTTGAGCTCTCAGCCATGGATGGCAATAGCATCACCGGAGATCGAACTCACAATCTCCTGATAATAAGGTCAACACTTAGATCTGCTACTCAGGAGCTGTAATCTAATTTTTTCCCCAAGTGATTTTGTACCATTTCTATTGGTTTATTCGTCATGAAATTTTAACACAATGTAAAGAGCAGCTGGAATGTTTAAATTATGCAAAAAAAAACAACAAAAATGGAAATGGACAAGGTCGCAACAGTGACGACATAAAAACTCAAAAGAGACTTAAAAGTTTACTGGTCATTTACAATGGTAAATACTATGGCTGTATTTGCACTGTAGACATTGCAACCTCTGGTTCCTATGACCACCACTGTAAAGAAATTTGAGCCTTTAAGTTTGTCCACAATGCACCATTACACATCAAACCACTCTGAACGACTTTGTTTGCATCTCAGCGATTTCAGAAATTTGAAAAATCTGTGAAATTCCCCTTTAATAACTACCAAGCGTAATGTACTAGGAAATGAATGAAAAAAATGAAAGATCAAAACAATTAGCTTGTTTTCTGTTTTGTCACATGTGGTGCTACCATCTCCACAAGCAACTCAAACTGAGTTACAGGCATCTGGGCTATCTATGAAAGCACTCAGAGTCTCAGCTCCTTTCACTCCTTCAAAATGGACAGTAGCCTACCTGATGACACTGTTTGCCCATTTTGTGAGGAGCAAAGGATGTATCTTTTTGCACTTGAAGACATTCTGCCCCTTCATTTTGTTTGTTTATTTCATGGTGCAAACCACATGCCAATATTATAATAAAAGTTTTGATAAGAAAAGACGTCAGAATATTTCACATTTTCATGCTTTTTTGTGTAACAACCTTTACATGGAACTTGAATGTGCTAGAAAATTCGATATTTTTATAAACTTGTTAATAGGAATAGGTAAGAGATTCCACTACCCTAAGTGCAGTGTACAACATCCCACATCACACACACACCAAACATCGACAGACAGATTTCAAGCAACTCAAAATCAAGCACAAGTAAGATTAATAATTACGATAAACAACAATCAATAATGCTCCAAAGGCTCAAGTGCATCTCAGATAGCAATTTATTAGCTTCTGAAACTCATCCCAAATGAAAAGTGCATTAAAATGAATGACCTTCCTGCTTAAGCATAAAGCAATCCCACTACAATGTCTGAAATAAGGCTAAATTAAGTTTCAATTCTGTAACTTTTGGGTCAAATCACAGAGGGGTACGAGAAAGGACTCCACTGCAATGGAAGATGGAGATAATACACATCACAAGACCCTAAATCCCATCTGCGTTTTAGCGTCATCTAAAAATCTACAAAAAAATACGTAAAACCAAGCTCAGTGGGCAGCACCACTCACAGAGAATATATACTGCATCCACAACACAAACTCAACCTGGTGAGTTACTAATAGCTTATTAAAACTGCAGTCAAAAGTAAAAAACAGAGCACCACCCTCTGCTTTTAATCTCATTCTGTTTTAGGCTAGCAGAGAGAATAAGCAGTGCTGGCAGGAAGGGACGAGCTACAGTGCATCTTTGGACTTTGTTTCTAAAAATCTGTTGCTGTGTCCTTAATAAAAGCCCTTTTTAGAAAATATTAATAAGAAGATGGGGGATTCTGTTTTAATTGGCTGAATGAAACATTATTGCCAGACCATTACCTGCAGGTTTTTGTTTCCAACGAATCGATTAAAGTTATAAAAGACCAACAAATTGATTCTAAAAATAGGCTCTAGCTGCAACCCTAATTTTACAGTGGCTCTCTTTCTTGATACACAATACGTATCACAATTTTTTTTCCCCAATTTTCTCCCCAATTTAGACGTATTCAATTCCACCTACTGGTTAGGACTCCCCCAGTTATATGATACCGCCAGCGCTAGGAGGGCGAGAGCTAGCAAATGGCCTCCTCTGAGACCTGTAAAGCAGGCACTGCATCTTTCCGTCTCTGACGCATTGTCATTGGACAGTTGAACGCGCTCGGAGGAAAGCAGTGGCTGGTATTACACAGGGTGCTGCGGGAAGACATGGGGCAATCCTACCCTCCCAGAGAGAGAGAGGCCAATTGTGCCTTCTTGGTCTCTCAGCCACAGATGGCTGTAGCATCACCAGGGGTTGAACGTGCAATCTCCTAATGACAAGGCCAACATTTAGATGGTTGAGCCACTTGGGAGCTCTGGAATCACAATGTTTTGCCGCACAGACACAACGCACTCATAGAGCCACATTTAAATTAACTGGGTACAATGATTTTTATCAATTAGGCTATATATATATAGGTTATATCTACTGAGATATAAGAAGAAGATATAAGTTATATATAAGATATATGTTTATTTCCAATCAAAACAATGAAATAAATGAAGTACTACAATATTTGTAGAGTTTAAATACAACAAGAATGATGATAATATAAAATAAAAATAAACTTTTTTATTTCACTGAAATTATTAAGTCTTCTCTGAAGGCCTATAAGGCCCTGAGGGCTCCCCACTGGCTATAACCAAGTATAAATCCATATGCATGGTTTTTGTGGGATTTCTGATAAATCAATGTGTTCATGTCATCCAACAAAAACATTCTGGACAAAATAATGCTGACCGATCTTTATCATTGACGTACCAATGCTTTTAATACACTGTAAGCTGTCAATCACATTCACAATATGCAGCAATATAATTGTAATACTAGTACTTTGTCCATATAGTGCAGCCGTAGTGCAGATCCAAGTACAGGGTGTTGAAGAACCTTATCTGAACTTCAGTTGATGTTCTTTAATCCACAGGCAACATGATTCTAATGGGCCTGAGGCTGACACAGTGCTTTCTTCATTCACCCTGACACAGCTTAAAAAGACTATGCAGCTGACTGGCCTCCCTTGACCCTCACTCACACGCACACACACACACACACACACACACACACACACACACACACACACACACACACACACACACAGCTTGACAGCTACAGCTGTAGATATTGATGTTCAGGTTAAGGGCATACGACAGGCGAGCCACGGACTGCTTTACCGCACCTCAAGAAAAGAATTCCGATCCCTAATCTGCGTAAATTGGAACTGGTGAACCACTAGACAGCCCTTGCATCTATGAGATTCTATCACATGCAAGCCAAAAGTAATGGATGCCCTCGTAAATTCTACTGCTGCTCATGTTCCAGAGTGTTTTGCTCCATGTATCATAAAGCATACAGTGATAGATATTAATAGGGGATAAAATGGTAAAAAAAATCCAGCAAACCACCAGAAATTACAGTACACATGGAATAAAACAGGATTTCGCTGGTTCCAAAGACCATAAAGTAACTGCAATTTATACACCCATATAATATTCCCTCATTTGGGACACATCTGGGGCATAGTAACCATTTTTACTATTTAAATATTTAAACAAGCAGCTTTAAAACATCCCAATTAGAAAATATTTTATATTTTTATGAATAAAAAAGAAGAAAACACCTGAAGTTTAAACACTGGAGGTAATCGTTTGGTTGATTTAGTAATTTATCTATATGTTTTAGGCAAATGTGATTTAACAGAGTATCTACAAAATTATAACTTGCACAACTTACATTGTTAAATACATAAGATAATATGCCATTTATTTTAATGTTTTGATTCTACAGGTGGCACCAATCCAGTGCCAGATATTGGTTTTGGGCCTATGTCAGCCAAAAATGCTGGGCTGGTTATCAAAGGGAATAAAAAAGAATGAATGCGCTCTAATCCTGGAAGAAATCTAGCCCAAAATAGTGTACACTCCCATTGTGTGTTATGATGATGTTAGTGGTGTATTACTTCCTATGGGGTCGTAGTGTGTTTAAGCAGTTTGAGCATGATAGTCTACTTTTAGATGCTTAAATTGAAGTGTTTAAATTAATAATAGCTTGGTAGTTTTTAAACACAAATATCGGATTGGTATCTGTATTGGCTGACACTCCAAGTTTCAATATCAGTATCCATGTTGGAAAGGAAAAAGTAGTATTGTGCTGTCTCTATTTAACCCCAATCTACACATACCTTACTCGAACAATGCAAGCCAACCATAAAATGGGAGCACAATGTAAGCCAACCATAAAATGACAATACAGGCTTAACTGATGAATTTGAACACAAAGTACAGCCTCCATATTAGTTTATATAAGTTTATATTCTCCCATACAAATTCAAAACAGTGAGTTTTTATGCACAGATTACTGTAGATGTACAAATGTTTATGTACAGTTTATGTACAGATATCACAGATTGTCATTTAAATAAAAACATTTACATTTTATTGTTCTGATATTTGCTGTTCTACATTGTGGTCAAAAATACATTTATCACATCGACAGCCTGTTTTCACTAAGCATATCTATTCTGATGAATATATTTTTTCATAGTTAGCTGGGCAAGTCCACCTGGTTTAAACACAGACCGGCACTGAATTAACTTTGTTTTGCTTTGATTTACCAGTAGCCCCTCTGTCTGTTACAAATAACCCCACCTATGGGGTTAGTTGTAATGTTTGCACTCACATTGCTTCTGTTCATAAAGAGTAGGTGCTGGAAACAAAGTTAATATTTTCTTTGTAGTAATCATATTGCTTTAAAATATTTTTTTTTAAATTAATCTTTAAATTTGAATTATATGGCAACAACCAAAATGTGCCTCGCACGCTCTCCCTTACAATCTTCTGAGAACTACATGATGCTTTGCATTCAATGCTAATAGTCTGATAATTAGTGACTTTACCCCTTAAACTGCACCAACGTTTCACACAACAGCACCGACGAGGAACCTGAACAACACTGCTGATGGGGAGCAGACCTCTGTAGCCTGAGGTATTCTACATCAGTCTTCCATTTAAAGTCACAACTAAGGCTGAGAAAACGGCCTGTCTAAAATGAAGAGAGTACAGCAGTCCACTTAACAACATCTCAATGTCCCTTAAAAGCCCTGAGGAGTCGGTACAGCGGCCTTGTAAAGTAAAGGAATATGAATGATGAGTGTGCGCCTGAGAAAAGAAAGTCTCTGTAACCAATAACACTAATATATTAAGGGCCTACATAAAGCACAGAGAGAGTTCACTGCATAATTTGATGGCTTTGATGAATACTAAGAAGCCGCTGGGGAGAACACAGTAGTACTTTATTGCTGATGATGCTGTTCTTGTGGAGTGAGCGTGGGTGTGTGTTTATTAGATCAGTCGCTGTGTGACTGTGTGTATGTGCTACACTGAAAAAGTATTTTATTGAATTTCATAGAAACGCATACATGTGTCATTTCTGAACGAATAAAATACATCAACAAAATTACTGCCAAATGTATGTATGATCAATGACAACACTGTTCATGCATTTTATTCACGAGCACATTATACACATAGTTGAATCAAGTCGATTCAATGTGTTTTTCTTTTTCAAGTTTCATAGCTCTGCTACTAATATTGCCATTCTTGTTGTATTGTACATGTACATGTATATACAGTATTATGCGGAAGCACAACACTGGGCCATGTCAGGCTTGGGCGTGTTTTCTAATGAGTTATTTTTTATTTAAAGGAACAGAGCATACATACATTTTGCTAAGATGCTTCAGTTATGGGGGAAAAAGGGAACTGGTTAATCATGTCTCAAAAAACTCTATACATCTTGAGCCTAAAAACAGAAAAGAAAAATATAATGAAGAGAACAGGCTTATGTTTTTTTTTTTTGGTGATGTTAACGTTAAGCCATTTGTTTTGGCTTGTAGTTGAACAACAAGAAGTAAGGGATCTGCAGCGTGTATAATGGATTCAGCTTCAACACAGACAGGCTTTCTGAGTTCTAAGCTTCAGCTTCACAAACAAAAAAGCGGTTATTTGTGGTTAACAACTTTCCCTGTTAATCCAGCTTGTCCAAAGTTGTGGGTACAGGTCACATTTGGACCTTAATTTAAAACTTGTGAACACCTCTAATTTGCAGGTTTTTTTTTAAAATTCTGCTTCCGGCCACACATTTCCCTATTACTAAGCAACAGCATCGTAACTGTCAATCAGCTGTGGTAGCTAGCTATTTTGGTATGTATAGGCAGAAAGTGATCTACTTGCAACTAACAAATATGGTGGTGTTGCCGAAGCTAAATTTGAAAAAAAAAAACTGCTTTTTTGTTTATGCTATGCTAATCTAAAATCATACAGTTTAGTGTACTTAGCGCGTACTTGAAGGCCCATCTTCCTTTTGATCCGACTGGAAAGCACTGAAAAAAAAATGCTTATGACATAGGCTACGTAACCACTTAAAGCTGAACTTCTTTCAACTCAGGCTGCCAGGAGCACAAAAGGCAGCCATGCAGGGTGCATAAAACACGAGGTGCTCAGGGTGAAAAAACAGTCCCTCCTAGGGCAAACAATAGTAAAAAGGCACCTCAGTCCTCAAAAACTTAACAATCCCTCTCAGGCATCTGAGAAAATTATATGTAAAGCGTTTATTTGGAAGTACACATTTATTTATTCAAATAGACTATCACTTTAGAGAAAATACAAATGAACAAACACCACATTGTGAGTTGATGTGTGTGAGTGTGAGTCAAAGCTCCAGTCTAGTATTTACCGTTATCATCCAATACCTGCTCCAGCTTATCATCCTTCATTAAGTTAAATCAGGTGTGCTGCTGCATATGTTAAAATAATGTATGTGTATTTGTGTCTATGTAAGCCTTACCACTCTTTATTACTGACACTGCTTCGCTTGCCGAGTTCTGCATGAAGTTTCTCATTCTCCTGAATCACCTCCTCTGAGCGTACTCTCAACATCTTCACTTCTTCCTGTGTGAACAGAAAACAGAAAACAGACAGACTTCATAACACCACACTCCCACTGCATTACAGGTGATTAGCTTCAATAAACTGCATTTTCTTATCTGCCTCTGATGCACTGATGGTGAGATAAATGGACTTGTTCGCACATTTTCACATAATGTCTTAATTCTTAAATAGACTTTCTCCTTTACATAATCAGGATACAAAAAAGGTAACTGTATTACACTACTATTACAGAAAAAAGATAATCAGATAAAACATAAAAAAACACTCCTAGCACTCCTTGTGTTTTTCTTTCCTGTGTTCATCTCCGCAACCTATACCTTCTCTCTGCAAGCCGTCTTTGTTTGTCAGCCTTTCAACACCATTATGGTACCTCTAATTTCCACTTGCAACTCTATGGGATTTACAATATTATGTTATATATATATATATGTTGCAATGTTGTGTTTGTCTGATACATCATGAATCCCTATGAGCTGGGTGGCAAATAAACACCCACCACCTCCAAGTTAACATACATAAGCTATATAGGATTTGCTTAGGCTATGCTAACATTGTGGAAAGCCAAGATAAAACATGCAAGATGAAACACCACAAAGTCAAAATCCTGAAAGTAGCAATAATGTTGCATAACAAGCTGGAACGTCAGTAAAATCATCAAATTTGACACAGGAGATCGAAATGTAGCTTAGCTTCTAGCTAAAGCTGGCTAAATCTTTCTTTGTGGATTAATTCATGAAATAGTGGCACATATATTATGTCAGAATTATGAAATGAATTGACCTATCAAGTCTACGTACAAGGCAGATTTAAACGGTCTCTTTAAGATGGCGGTTGAACAACAGCATGGTTAACAACCACATCCTAAAGCCGTATTCAGATTGGATGACAGCAATATAATTGCCACAGGATGAGCAAGTTTCCAGTGGGGCGTACATTCTACGAACCTGGATGTTTGAAGCATATATGATCATATGATCGTGGTCATTATTTCTAGAAAACTAAAAGCTGATAATATTGTGCATAAGTGAATATACAGTGCTTTATTTCTGTCACTGTCACAATAATTGCCCTTTTAATCAGACTGCAGGATCTCACTTTTCTGATTGACTTAATTTTTTTCTCCTCATGTTAATGTTCTCCCTGGGCAGAGAGGATGGAGTCTCAGACCAAGAAAGTGTTTAAGAGACTCTTCTAAAGCATCCACCCTTTCATCTTTGAAGATTTTAATGTGGATATCTGTGCTAGGAAACTAACTTTCCAAAAGTTTTTCCAAACACATGGCAATCTCAGCCTTGAAAACGGTGGATGGTATCAGACCATTGCTGAGTTTGGTGAAAAAAAGTAGGTAATTTTACCTGGAATTCACTCAAGGGAGGAGAGAGAAAAACACCAATGTGGTCGATCCTGACAGAAATAAAATCACTTAATAGCACTTATAAAAGAGTAAATCATCCCAGGCATCAGGCCCATGCAAACTTAATCCTGTCCAAATGGAGATTAAGGCTTACTTTTATTTAGTAACAACATGGGCCACAATCACAACTGGATAGATTATTCTTAAATTGTTGGAGTGCTTTTAAAATGTGTCTAAAAAACCTGAACAGCTGGTAAAGATTTGGTAAGCACGGTGGCCTAAAATTTATCTGCCTACAAGGAATGACAGCACACTGGGGAACAAATGTTGTTTTAACTCAAGAAAGTTAGTTATTGGGCTGTCTAAAAATTTTGAGTATACTGAACTTCAAATAATAAATCAACAATCAACAACTTAAGATTCTTGTTCTGTAAACTAACTATCTAGCCACACAAGGAAAAATGTACACTGATGGACTGGAACAGAACCCCCTCAACACACACAAACACACACAGATATACACACTTAAATTTAAACCCACACTTGCACTTTTTAAATAAACAGACACTAATAATGCAGGTAATCCACACTCTCACCTCACAGGACTTGAGAATTTTGTCTCTCTCCATCAGCTGGTCCTCATAAGCCAGTAATAGTGGTGATAAATATTTCATATCCAGCTGCAGGCAATCAAGAGCACAACAAAAAGCACCTTAGGGAAAGAAGAGAAAGCAGCAAAACCCACACCAAAGCTCTACACTTTGTAAGCGTCTCTCACACACACACACACACACACACACACCACACACACGCACAAACACACACACGCACAAACACACACACGCACACACACACACACGCGCACACACACACGCACGCACACACACACACACACACACACACTTAGGCAGCTCTATGGAATAATGCGACAAGCTTTATCTATTAGTCTTCATTATGCTCTTCCAGTGTTAGTCATGAGACCTAAAAGTGGTGAACATTTACAACAATTAGTTAAGAGGAAGTTAAAAGAATTATCATGAGCAAATGCTTTCAATTCAGAGACAATGAATTTTTCATCAAACATTTACAGCAAAGTTTCTAAAAGGGAGAGATAAGAGTGCGAAGTTCAAATGCTAATTTTTCTCTAAAGAAGAGATATTTTCACCATGTACGCAGTAAAGAAGGCCAAAAAGAAGCAGAGAGAGAATGAGTGATGAACATTATCAGTTTACCATGTACGTGTTAGAGTGCCACTAATATAATCGTTCGGCCTATAGTGTGTCAACTTTGAATTTGCAGTTTTATGAGTACTGGCAAAAATACTCCTAATAATTCACCACTATTTACCAGACCCTTGGTTGTAGTATTGCTAGGATTCAAATTCGCAGCATCCCAACAACAGCATGACAGTTCAGATGGTATTGCCAAAGAAGAACCAGTGATCATGGTTAAAGTAACAAAAACGTGAATAATCTATCCAAACCTTCTAGTTTGAGAAAAATGTTAGAACGCAAATCCCTTTTTGTAAAGATAACTACCAAAAAATAAGAAAAATAAGCCATAACTACAAAAATGCATTTCCTGAAGAAAATGCAGAGTGAATGTGCTGCTTAAGCTAGCTAAGATGTTGCTAGTTGGTTGCTGTGGTATCCCAAGTGGTTGCTAGGCAGTTGCGCTGGCACTTGCAATGGCAATTCATTTCTTAAGTGGAAAAAAAAGTGATTTTCCAATAACTGTGCAAAAACTGTATAATCAAAAAGCTGTACACAAGCACACCGCTCCTGATCAGACAAAACATTCCAGAGTTTGAACAGTGTTGATATGTCAAAAACTGCGGGATGAGTTAGCAGACAAAAGCAGGCACAAGAAGAAGATGAAGAAGAAGGAAAATGACTAACTATAGTGTTGCACACTGCAAAGCATCATTAATCAATAAAAAGCAAAATCACAACTTCTAGTTAGCTCCACCCAGAATTAAAAAGTAAGACATTTAAACACTGTCAATTGTCAGTAAAGCACTGTTTATCTAAAACTACTGAAGAATGAAATGAAAATCTAAAATATAAACATAAAATTATATCGGCTGACATTATTGGTTATTAGAATTTTCAGCTCCTTAACATTATCCATATAGGATTAAATTTCAGTTAGTTTTCATGCTAAACGTGAAGGAGTCTCACTCACCAGCCATGGGGGAGATGGTCCTTTCACTGGTAGGCCACCACTCCGAGAACACTGGGGGATGGAGCAGAAGAAGCAAGTTAGTGACAACTATAACTGCAACAAATGTTCAATAAATGTGAGACCTTTATGACGCATGCACATTAGTGGTGAAACCATGGATTGTTTATCAAGCTAAAAGCTAGTACGTTACCAGTAGCATGCACTTGCTAGCGTTGACACACTAGATTGTCTAGAGATAGGCGCAGCTTGCAAGTGGTGGTGGGCAATGACAATATTTTATTGCTATTATGATAAATTATGTCACAATGTGCTTTTCTAAGCATATCATGAGTATCATCAGTACTTAAAGGACAGGCAGTAATTATGTTTTATTTAAAAAAATTGCATAATTAGGCCTGTTTGATGCAGTGCAGTGCACTAAAGTTCACTGTAGGTGTAGTTTTTTCATGATTGTTTATTATTATTGTTTTTATTATTATTATTAATTATGTATTAATTTATTGTTTTTTTGGCACTACAGGTTCATTTTGTCTGTGCAACAAAATACAAATCAGAAACAAAACATTGTAGGCATATTGTAAAAGTATCATGATATAATATTTTTGCCATTTTGACCCCCATCAAATTAGCTCAAATAAGTTTCCTGCTGCTCGCAGCCAAATTATTGAGGAGAAAAAATGAGAACATGCTGACTAGAAAGCTGTCTGAGTTTAGCACATGTGCATGGTAAAAAGTGGTTTTAAACAGCTTGACAACCTTGAACATATCAAATGTGAATAGAATGAAGGCAATAATAACAACAATTGTAATGATAAGAAGATTCAATCTTTCCCCATTCAATCTTTAAAGTGAAACATGTCAGCTTTTCTTATTCTCATTAAATACTCAAATACTGAAGAAAATATTTGATAAAATATCATCATAAAGATTTTTAATTGCTGCAGCCCAAGACTACAGATCCTGAACTGCTTCTCTACACAACCACACACTGCAGCTAGAAAGTCAGAAATATTCACAAACCCACCACTTTCCATTCAGCATATCCCACAGTGCAGAGTACTGGCCTTAAACCATATGAACCAAAGGTCATGGGTTCAATCCCAGCTGATAGCATCATGCTACAGCCACTGTGCCCTTTGGGCAAGGCATTTAATTCCAAGCAGCTCCAAGGGGAGCATCTCTGCAGTTGGGTAATGTAAACCGCTTCAGGCAAAAGCTCCAGTTAAATGAGAGTCAGAATCACAAATAAATACAGCTGGTTATTAGTATGTACAGTGTTACAGTTCATATATATATATATATATATATATATATATATATATATTATTCAAATATTAAAGAATTTAAAAAGTTAAATCTAGTATAAAATATGTTTCTTCTCCCATTGAGTGAGGCAGGGTGGTTAGGGTAACTTTCTGGTGGAAAATCATACGTCCTCACAGGCAAAGTCTGGGCCATGGTTTACACTTGGGGCAGCCCTGATCTACACCTATTCCCTTGTTGTTTTTTGATTGTGACTATTCTATCAGTATTCACTACAGAATAATTCATGAAGCAAGTTGCAGACCCAGAAAAATGTTTTATTGAGCAGTACAGTAAAGTCATTTTAGCATGCATCAAATGTGTAACACTTGCATTAGATTTCAATATGTTCAGTCCTTCAGTTAAACAGGCTAATGCCACCACGATGCTCCATTTTGCCTATTGACAAAATCAACTTGTGCAAACTAATTAGACCCAGATGGGTAGAAACGTACCCATTGGTATATAATGTTGTGACAAGTGGAATGTTTTTCTGTATGTCATCTGATAAATATTGGATGTTGGAATGATGCCACGTGTGAATGTTTTACCAAACCATTTGAGTATGATTGGAATCAGTGTCAAAGTCAAAATTTAGGTATTGTAATATAGGTTTGGATGTCAGCTGCACCATGTGTTCCCATGCTCATAGCTCACCTTGGGTGTTCACATTCGAACAAAAGATTCCATCTTTCTACAAATCTACAGCTCTACAGCCTACTGACTAGTCTACATTTTCACATAGCCTAGCAAATTGCTTAGCACCACCCTTAAAATGAGGTACCATCAGCACAGAGTTTCTAAACATGCACCCAGCTGAATTATAATGAAAAAGCATCAAAGAGCAGAAAAAAAACAGAACTGAAAAGAAGAGAAAGACAGAGTCAAGGAAAGAGCATGAGTAGCTGTTTCCCAGTATGAAGTGTCTCTGATTAGGCATAATGTGAGGTACTGGTGGGTGGCATATGGCACAGAATTGGGCCAGACTTGGATAATCAGCTTCCAGCTGATGCCAGCACGTCCGGAACAAGCCTGACTTCAAACACATGCTGCAAAATTTACATCTTAACAAGTGCAAATATCTTGAATGCAGGCAAAAGGTAATATTTCTCTTAATGAGATACAGTTTTTTACTTAATGCTCTATGATTATCATTCAGCTTTTTTTTTTTCATTTTTACTGCCATCAAGTGAAATGCTCTCATCCAACTTGTAGTTTTGTATTTGTAGTATTTTTTCTTTTTGCTTATATCTGTAAGCTCAAACACAGATGAGGGGTTTTAAGATGTGGCAGTGTGAAGTTTATTCAAGGCTCAGAAATGCCTGGTTTGGACTTCAGGCCCAATACAGACACAAAGTTAAGAGCAAGAGAAGAGAGATGTTTTTTACAGGTGATTTTAGGACAAGCTGCCACTGCAAATTCTAAGCCCATCTCTGAGGTGGCTACATAACCCACACACATCAACACAGACAAAACACAGTTCCATTCATCCTTGACAGAGTATCGGATTAGTATCAACGATGCACTGTTCCTTGCGCTGACAACAGTTTAAACTAGAGCCTGACTGATAATATCAGTTAATACTGACCAACCACAGTTTTATGTAGCAGTCCATCTCCAGTGCTATAATATTGCTCCAGGTTATTATTTTGATTTACCGACTGACTTTACATGCACATCTTAAGACTTTTATTCAGTAACTGCATTGGATAGATACAAAATGTTGTTTTGTTTTGTTTTTATATCAACTTAACAGAAAATGTGTTTCATGAGCATCAGCCTTTCTAATTGTTGTATGATATGGACGCTGAAATTTTGTCACTTACTGAAATTAAGTACTTAAACATACACTATATGGCCAAAAGTATGTTGACACCTGACTACTGGATGTATATGAGCTAGTTAGACATCCTATTCCAGAACCAAAGGCATTAAAATGGAGTTGGCCCCTCTCTGCAGCTGTAAGATGTAAGATGCAAGATTTCGGACTGAGTCTGTGGGAATTTGCACACATTCAGTCAAAAGAGCATTCGTGAGGTCAGGCACTGATGTTATACAAGAACGCCTGGCTTGCAATTGACGGTTCAATGAATCCCAAATGTGTTCGGTAGGGCTGAGGTCAGAGCTCTGTGCTGGCCACTGATGTTCTTTCACACCAAACTCGCAAACTTTGTCTTTATAGATCTCACTTTGTGTGCAGCAGCACAGTCATGGTAGGCCCTCCCCAAAATCTTGCCACAGAGTTGGAAGCATATAATTGTCTAAAATAGCTTTGTATGCTGTAGCATTAATATTACCCTTCTAAGGGTACTAAGGAGCCTAGCCAAAACCCAGCAAAACAGCCCCAGACCATTATACCTCCTCCACCAAAACTGTTAGCACTTATTATTCTGGTAGGCAGCATTCTCCTAGCATCCGCGACCAGTCTGCCAGATAGTGAAGCAGTCTAGAACTTCAGTGAGTGATGCAACAGAGCATAGGCAATTTTTATGTGCTCACACTTTGGCACTCAGCAGTCTTGGTCTGTGAGCATGCAGGGTCTGTTGATTTTTTTTTTCAGCAAGTTAGCAAGGTTTTATCAATGACTAGGCTTACTACTCTAGCTGGTGTTAGGTAAGTCCAGAAACAATGAAAATATATTTTTCGGACAAATAACAGTTTGCCACATTGCTCACTGAGGAGAAAATAAGCGTCCTCATCAGCATCCAACGTGACACTGATCAGCTCTGTTAGCTTACTGTCTTATCAAAAGAGTCAGACTCTTTTACTAATCTAATATCAAAACCTACCAATGTCCCTTGGCTATTTTTGAATAACAAAATATGTTTTCTTCTGTTGTTTTTGTGCAGTACCAGTTCTATTACTTAAAAAGGTACCTACATTATTTTTGGACAAAAAATTTTATTTTCTTTTTTTGTCATTGTTTGTCCTTCCTTGTGGTTAATCAGATATCTGTTCATGAATTCATAGGGATACTTAAATATCAAAACATCCTTACTTTTAATGAGGACATCAGGGAAGTGGTTTATAATCTCTGTTCATGTTAAGTATATAGAGAGGGAACAACGTCCAAGAACTTATTACAGGTTTAATCCCACTCATTCCACTCAACGCAAAGAATACAACAAAACAACGAAAGCAGAAAGGAAAGTCTCCGATAGCACGATCTGACTAAAAATGAATGGAATTCATTATCTTGGATGACCCTGATGTCAATATTGGATTTTGTGGCATATTCTGTAGCCTACATACTGTAACAATTTTAGTAAGTTTATTTTGCATAAACTGTTATGATGTCATTTCAGCGCATCACTAATAATAATTTAAAAAATGCCATTTTTTGTTACGTAAAACCATAAAAATGTCATACGTGTATCTCACGGAAAAAATTCACAGAAAATGCTGGATATGTGCCCTTTAAGAAAGTTTTTGTTCTTCTCCTACAAAGTTTCCATTTTGGAGATACACAGTTTTCCCAATGACAAAATATAGCAGTCCTAATGAGTCCATAACAAAAGACAGGTGCACATGATAAGTGCGAAGTGCCAGGGGGGAAGCTGGAGGAGAATAGGATCAAGGGGAGACTGTAGGCATGTCTCAAAGCTAGGCATGCAGGAGAGGTAGGACAGACCCGGTATATGAAGGCTCCCGCACATTTGAGATGGCCTGAGCAGACTGCACTGCATCCTTACAGCTTACTGACGTAAGCAACAGGACATATTTAAATCTTCAAATGTTTCAAAACATTA